TCACACCGGGCCTAACACGATGCTAGTTCTGGGGTTTTTTTTTTCTTATTTGAGTGAATGAAGATTGGATTCTAAAAATGACAAAGCGGTTACACTTAGTTCCTCAGAGTGACTTGGGTGGATACTAACCAAAAGCTGTTGATCGGACCATTTTTATATTGCACCAAAAGACAGATAATTATAGATTGCTTTGTCCAAAAAATAATAAAAATGTAAATGCTACATGTAACGCATGTCAAAAACTTTCAGAACTTTGATGATCTGAATGGCTTACCCGCCGATATTGATATAAATGTTTTCAATGAAAATCGGTGTGGAATGAAATGAATCAGAAAATCAGAAATAATTTGATTAATAAACTAGTTTGAGAAGAAAAATTGTTCATGACCAAAAATCATCCACCAGAAAGTCTTCCACCAATAAAAGGTGCATTACTACAGCAAGTATCGAGTAGTGTGCAACATCACCAAACGATTGAGGTTGGAGTTTGCATAATGAGTCTTGGCAGTTTAAATGGTCGGAATTATTAGAAATTTCTGATTCCTGCAAAGAGCTCATAAAATGTGTTTGCAAATTCTGTAAAAACAAGTGCAGCTGCAGAACTGCTCGTTTATCTTGCACATTATCGTGCAAATACAATGAATGTGAACAATAATACCCCCGCCGCAGCAAACCTGCAGACCATGCGAATTTCCATTTGTCTGAATTGATTTTCAATTAAATCTACTTAAACAACATTAGTTTTAACGAGTACCTAGGATTGCTGCTACAAGGAAACTAATAAAGTTAGTTTTTCAGTCAAATATTAATAGCTTGGTATAAGATAAATAAAATCACCATTTTTATTAACATATATCCATAAACAAGCAAACTACAACATTTTACAATATTCTCCATAAAAATAACATGAACATTTTAAATTTACAATTTGTTTATTTTTCTCTGTTACCAATAACCCTACAAAAACACTTTGATATACTAAATCATTTGTTTTTAAGCTCTTTAATAAGGTCTATACTATATTAGATATATAGAGAGGTATAGAGGTATAGAGATATATATTGGAAAATGTTATGTTTTGAGGTTCAACAATTAGAAAACCCAATTTTTACCCCATAAAACCCCCTGTAAAACACCGTTCCTATGATCCGATCATGTTGATTCGCGAACTCTTTCAAGTTTATTCCGCCTTACACCTTTAAACCAAATTTCATCAAAATCGGACAAAAATTACTCAAGTTATCGTGTTCACGGACACACACACACAAATATATAGGTACATATATAAAAAATTGAACGAATGGTGTTTTTTGCCTCTGGTGACATTAAAATGACAAAGTAAATAGGTCCCGGGCCTAGGTCTTATCATGCTACCTACGGTAATAGCTACTTCCCTATAGGCAAATTAGCTAAAAATGGTGTTGGTATAAATATTCGCCAACTTATAAAATATAGCGTGTTTTTTTATTTGCTGATATACATTTTCTGTAAATAAATTTACGTTTATTACATTATTATTTAACTTGTTTACTTACCTTATACCTAAATACCCCCGCCGCAGCAAACCTGCCGACTAAGCGAATTTCCATTTGTCTTAATTGATTTTCAATTAAATATATTTTAATAACATTAGGTTTAACGAGTACCTAGGTTTGCTGCTACAAGGAAACTAATAAAGTGTGTTTTTTTGTAAAATATTGATAGCTTAGTACAAAATAAATAAATTTGATCAAAATACAAAATATATCCATAAACAAGCAAACTACAACATTTGACAATATTCTCCATAAGAATAACATGGGAATTTTAACTTTACAATTTTTTAAATTTTCTCCGTTACTATTAACCGAACAAAAATACTTTTATATACTAAATTAATTGTTTTTTTAAGCTCTTTAAAAAGGTCTAAAGAGTAATTGGGAAAATTTGTGTTTTGAGGGTCAAAAGTGAGAAAAACCAATTTTTACCCCATAAAACCCCCCGTAAAGCCCCGTTCCCATGGTCCGATCATGCTGGTTCGCGAACTCATTCAAGTTTATCCCGCTTTACACCTTTAAACCAAATTTCATCAAAATCGGACAAAAATTACTCAAGTTGGGTAATTTATGGGTTCACGGACGTATATATATATATATATATATATATAAGTCTATATATATATACATATATAAAAATTTGAACGAATGGTGTTTTTGGCCTCTGGGGACATCAAAATGAAAAAGTAAATCGGTCCCGGGTCTAGGTCTTACCGTGCCACCTACGGTAATAGCTACTTCCCTATAGGGAAATTCGCTAAAACTAAAACATTGATCAGAAACACCATTTTGCATGATGTATATCAAAAGAAAATATATAAAACCCAAAATACGGGCAGCCATTTTGAAAAATCGCCGCCATTTTGGAATATAGCAACTTTGGTTGGTGCCTCCCCATCTTATTTGCATTGCCTAACTTAAAACTACATTCCCACCAAAGGGCACACTCTTATCACAATTTGCAGTTTTCTTATGGTTTTTTTACTGTAGCTCCCCCACTATGTGGTCTGTCTTGTCTGTGGACACAATAATATTACATTATAATAGCTTAAAACTGTTCTTCTGTATAATGTAATGCGTTGTTGTGACTAGAACAAATTTACACACCAAACAAACCAAGGATTGATAAATGATCTTTTAAGTCATTCAAAGCGTATTTGAAATTTCATCAACAATAAATCAATAAAAATTATGGAAAATTTCTGAAGAAATATTTAAATTACTTGCACACGCATTGTTAGAACTTTGTAAAAACTAAGATCACACTAAGCACGGGCGAGGGTTTGAATAAAATATAGGTTTCTGCGTAATCTTGGTAAGTATTAAAAACACAAAGAATATAGAATATAGAAAGGTATTGGGCACACGAAGAAATATTCTTTATTGAACCCATTTGAGAATCATATGACATTAGATATAGCGGGGATCTAAAGTCATAATATTAAACCTAGGAATTACTCAATTATTCTTCATTGAATAGTTATAGGAGATAATAGATTGTGTACTGTTTTCCTTTTTCTAAATTGGATGGGATTAAATGCTTATTAATTGAAATGTAATTTTAAATATTTCATAAAAAACAGAGGAAATGTTTGGTGTACTTTGTTTACGATCTTTATGAATATTTTAAAAGGAAATACAGTATTACGGGTGATATTTGTTTGCTAACATAATTTATGTATGATATGTAATATTAGCTACTAAAGAACCCGTGGGGCTCAATGAGCCGCATCGTATGAAACATAACGCCAAGCTAAAATAAATAAACATTTTTTACGACTACTTACATTTGTCAAAAACAGTAAGCTATCGTGTTGTGTGGGACAGATGATTATATCACTCTTGTAGGTTGCTTTGGTTACGTCTCAAGAAAACTATGTGTATTGCATGTAAAGAAATTATAGATATTTACTCAGAAAAGTGGACATGGTTTTCTCATTCATTTACTCACTCAACTCAATATTTATTTACATTTTTGAAAGTAAACACTAACATTTTAATAATTAGAAAACATATGACTTAAATAAAGAATTTATGGTAAAGTCTAACCATTCTCCGCCCCTTGAGATACCCTGTATCTCAAGATCAGTCCATTGGAATGATAATCAGTTTTGAGATTGATCGTTTGATTATTTCACTTGTCGTTTTAAGGTGACCACACGTACTATTCCATCAGTTCCTGGATGTACTTGTTCTACTCTGGCAGTGAGCCACTTACATGGAGGAATATTTTCCAATATATATACCCTCCTCAGGAATATTTTACCCTCCTCGTCCAAAAATGGAAATGAATTTTTCAGTTTACTCTTGTTTTTGACATGTCCATGTTTTTTCAGTTGTTTTATTTCATCCTGAAAACATTCTTCCTGGATAAGTTTGACAATTGTTTTAGTAGACTTCTCAAGTTCACTGCTGTTTAAAGACTCCTTTTCTCTTTCTTCTGCAGGTTTTCTTGTGTTATTTGTAAATCTCAAGATATAAGCAACAATACATATGATCTTGAAATAGCTTGAGAAGTTCATCAATTTCTTAAGCAAAGTTGACTTTTCTTGGGAAAACAAAATTTGAGTGGATGTTTTTCGTAACTCTGGATTTCTTTTAAGTTAACATTCATGTTATTTCGAGGCCAACTTGATTTCTCTTCCTTTAGCCATTCTGGCCCATGCCACCAAAGACTAGATTGTTTCAGATGAGAACCAGAAATGCCTCTATAGGTCGGCCGCTTAGAAAACGACCTCCTCTAGCATTGGTTAAGCATTAGCGCGCAGGTCGTTTTCTAAGCGGCCGAACTATAGTAGCCAAATCAGCTGGGTTTTCAAACGAACTAACATTATTCCAATTTGAAGGCGGAATAGTGTCTTGTATTTCTGACACCCTGTTAGCAACAAACGTCTTCCATTTATTTGGCAACTGAGACAACCAACACAAAACAATTGTGGAATCAGTCCAAGCACAACACTTATTTACATCAATATTCAGAGAAAATGCTACCTTACTTAATAATTGAGAAAGAAGCAAGGCACCACAAAGTTCTAATCGTGGTAAGGAAATTTGTTTGGTTGGGGCAACTTTTGTTTTGGAACAAAGCAAATTAACTTTTACCTCATGATTGGTTGAAATAGATCGCACATACACGCAGCTAGCATAAGCTTTCTCGGATGCATCACAAAATCCAATAATTTCAATACTTTCACGTAAGTAATTGTGAGTTGTGACTTGTCTTGGAATGCACAATTTATTGATAGTTAATAGCTCACCTTTGATTTGATCCCATTGTTTTGCTATGTCTTCACTCACCGGCTCATCCCAAGTTAGTCCAGTTAACCACAGTAGTTGTAGCATGATTTTTGAAACTATTACTAAAGTACTTATTAGTCCCAGTGGATCAAATACACTTGAAATAGCCCTCAGAATTTCTCGTTTGTTTAAACTGTATTTATTTTGAGTTGTGACATTGATGTTTACTTGAAACATGTCTGATTTGGGTTCCCAAGCAACTTCTAAAGTTTTAATAGGTTTACTCTCTTCTAAATCTAAGTTCATAGAACCAACCTCTTTGTCCTCTTTTGGTATCCTGTCTAGTACAGCAGAACTATTGGAACACCACTTACGTAGTTTGAAACCTCCTGAACGTAAAAGTTGATCAAGTTCTTCCTGTAACTGTAGAGCAGTCTTCTCATCATGACACCCGGTTAGTAAGTCGTCCACATAGAAATCCGCTCCTGCAGCAGCGCAAGCTGTAGGGAATCGTGTCTTCTCGTCTTCTGATAACTGTTTCAAACACCTAGTAGCTAAGAAGGGAGCACTAGAGGTGCCATATGTTACTGTTTTCAGTTTATATATTTTGACAGGCTCATAACTGTTTGTCCTCCACAATATTTGTTGAAACTTACAATCATTTTCATCAACTAACACCTGGCGATACATTTTCTCACAGTCAGCAACCATAACTATTTCATGTAGTCGGAAACGTGTTAGGATGGAAAACAAGTCCTGCTGGACGTTTGGACCTACCATAAGTGTATCATTCAAAGATACCCTTGTGCTTGTTGGACAGGATGCATTAAAAACCACTCTCAGTTTGGTTGAAGAGCTTGACTCCTTTATTACTTCGTGATGAGGTAAGAAACAAATTGTTACGTTACCTGTGGTGGTTACTGATTCACTGAAATTTAGCTTCCCTGTTAGTTCCATGTGTCCTAGTTTCAGATACTCCTGTAAGAAACTATTATACTGCTGTTTTCTCTCGGAATTTAATGACAATCTTTGTTCAACTTTTTTGAAACTACCCAAAGCTATGTGTTGTGATTTTCCTAACTCATTTAGACGTTCATTGAATGGTAGTTTTACAATAAAGCGTCCAGATTCATCTTGTTTGATATTTTCCTTGAAATGCTGCTCACAATATTGTTCCTCTTTAGTGAGAACAGGAATAACAACTTGCTCGATTTCCCAGAATCGCTTAAGTTGACTCTCAATAGTCAAATTGCAAGTTGACTCAGTCTCATTTGGGCACTGCCCACACCTACCAGCAACAATCCAGCCCAAAACACTATTGTGAAGAGTAGGTGTTTGTTTGGTACCTGATATCTTTCCTTCAATGATAAGGTCGAAGTAAACTTCTGCTCCAAATAGCATATCGACTTCACCTGGTTTGTAGAACTCCGGGTCTGCCAGGACAAGTGTAGAGATGTGATGAGACCAGTTGGTATGGTTAATAGTCTCAGCAGGTAGTTTAGTGGAGATGGTTGGCAAAACTACTGCTGAAATGTTGGTAAAATACTAGCTAACTCTTGAAAAAATATTTAATGATACTCGTTTTGATGCTCTTGTTTTCGATTGCCCTATACCATTAATAGTTATTGAAGAGTTTAATAGTTTTAAGCCAAGTCGATCAGCGCATGACTTAGTTATAAAGTTAGATTGTGCACCTGAATCAAGTAGTGCACGCACTCTTACATGTTCTCCTTTATTATTCTCGATTAGGACTATAGCAGTCGACAGTAAAACTTGTGATGATGACATTGGTTCCTCTGCATTACTTAGATCAACAGATTTAGATGCAAACCCTTGTTCAGACGCATTATGACTAGCAGAGTTAGATGTTACTTTATTCTTGTCACATGCTTTGCCGTTTTCCTTTTTCAATTCAATATGAATCATTGTGTGATGGTTTCGGTTACACAGTTTGCAAGTAGAACCATTGCAATCAGTAGCAGAATGATTGGGTTTTAAACAATTAAAACATAATTTACGCTTTTTGACAAGATCTATTCTGTCAGATACACTCATGCTACTAAATTTGTCACACTGATAAATTGCATGATTAGGTTTTTCACAGATTACACAAACATGAGTAAAAGAAGACTTTCCCCTTGCTTGGTTAAACGACCCTTTACTTTGAATACATCTATTATTAGAATGACTAATGTTAGATGCAGATGTCTTAGATATGCTTGAGGATGCCAAGGCATTAGTTCTTTGGATAAGAAACGATTTTAGCTGCTCAAAATTAGGACTATCCTGTGTAGTTAAGGACATTTCCCATTGTTTTCTAGTCTCACTATCTAATTTGCTAGTTAGAATGTACACAAGTATGCTATTCCATTCACCTACATTTTCACCTAACGACTTTAGAGCCCTAATATGGGTTTCAGATTCATCAACTAATTTTCTAAGTCCTTGTGAAGACTCATTTTGTAAAGGTACTTGACTGAATAATCCTTTTAGGTGAGAATTTACAATCAGCCTTTTGTTGTCATACCTGAGCTTTAGAATGTCCCAGGCCTCAAAATAGTTTTGATCTGTAGACGGAAGTGACTGCAATAGTTGGTGTGCCTCCCCTTTTAGACAAGATTTTAGATAAAATAGCTTTTGGATGTTTGGAAGCGACTGGTTGTCATGGACAATAGATATAAATAACTCGCTGAATGAAGGCCATTCCTCAATATTCCCATTAAATGATGGTAGATGTAAATTAGGTAATTTGACTTGAGAAATAGGGTCAACTGAAACACTTTGTTGAATAGAATTAACCGAAGGAACAGGAACTAGATTAGGGACATTAGTTTGATATTCACTTAGTAAATTTAATAATTTAGCTTTAGTTGCAAAATAATCATTTTCAAAAGCTCCTAAAATGTCATCATTAGCTTGTTCCTCATCTATACTGCTAATTTCTTCATGAATTTGAATATACTGATCAAATAGTTTATCAAGCTTTTCTTGCCTTACAATCAGGTTTGCCCTATCTGTACTGGTAATACTCACATTTTCTAGGTAGGTATTGATTCTGGTAAGGGATGATTTCACTGTACTCCTCTGTTTTAATAATGTTGTTACTCTTTGCTGGCTCATATTACGTGGCGTAGAAGGACCATAAAGAAATTATAGATAATAACTCAGAAAAGTGGACATGGTTTTCTCATTCATTTACTCACTCAACTCAATATTTATTTACATTTTTGAAAGTAAACACTAACATTTTAATAATTAGAAAACATATGACTTAAATAAAGAATTTATGGTAAAGTCTAACCAGCATGCATATTTTCTAGTTTAAATAATGTTTTCACTTAATTTATCCATAAAAAAACATCTAAATTGCACAGTGTCAGTTTTTACAAATTTGCAGATGCAAATGAAAAATCAGATTAAAGTTTACTTTTCCACTTACTATGAATGTAAGTATAACCAAAGACTGATAGAAAATATAGTGCTCTTAAATAAGTATTTACGGGGTCGAAATCGACGTTAGGACAAGACATTAGTTTGGACCGTTTCAAAACGTTAAAAAAATGTTTTGGTGTAGAAAATACAAAAAATACACTAAAATCATATTACTCTCAATATTTTACCATCAGTAAGAGATTTGCCAGTTAAATAATATGGTTCATGTAAAATTGTATCAGAATATGTTCTACTGAAACATGGATTACTTAAAACTTAAATTGGTTTGTGGTAATTTAGCAATGGACACTACATAATTAAACATATTGAAATACAAGTCAGATTATAAAATGTTGATGAGCGCAATCAAAATTAAAATTTGTACAGTATTAACATTTAATTTAACCATTAGATGCACAACACACGCAGTAATATTATGTGTTTTAAAATTACAATTTATATTTTGAACTTTTCTTCATCCAGGAAAACAATTTATAAAATTAAATGAATATTTAAAATGTTTGCTCCATAGGGATCTCTACTCTGAGCTGAGATCAGTGGAGTATAGAAGTACAAATTGCTAGTCGTTTGAAGTGTTTTGGCAGTGGGTGGCTTAACCCTTTTGTTAATTTAAGCCTCTAATTAAGGTTTTACTGTTTGTGGTTGGATCAACGTTGTACCCCGTTGATTATTATAGCGGGAAAGTTAGGATGTATTTGAAAAATATTTTTTATTTCATATGTATGATGATAATTCCCTCGCTGCAGCGAACCTGCAGACCAAGCGAATTTCCATTGGCCAGATATGATTTTCACATGAATCTATATAAATAACATTAGATTTAACGGGGAGGGTTATTAAGTGTGTTTTTTATATATTTTTTTTATAATAGCTTAGTATGAAATAAATAAATTCGCCAAGTTTGATCAAAAGATATCCATTAACAGTTTAATTATTCTGTATAACAATAACATTGCAACTTTCAATTTTGAGTTCTTGGTTTCCTCCGTAACCAATAACCGAACAATGACACCTCAATATACTAATTATTTAGTATCTAAAACTAAAATAAATCTATCCTGTGACCAGGTCTCTGAATGAACTTAGTAATGGAGACTTATGCTGAAATGTAAGATGAATATAGATGACGTTTTGGTACCTTTTATTTGGAACTTATATCAGTTTAGTAGTAATTTAACAGTTTTAAAATATTTATAGAAATAAATATAGTTTTATATGCATGTTCTTGACCTTTTTCTTAACAAAGGATCACATTTTTGGCACCGTATGATGGAAGCGTAGTTATCTGATTAGCTGCATTGGCCCAACATAATGTTACAAGTACATCAACATGTTGAATATGCATCGGAAGCGCGATAAAACCACTACCACTTGACTGCACAATTTAGAGCTGTAATGATAATATTACCTGGGTGAGGGCTAAATCTATTAATATTATAAAGAGGGGGGGGGGAGGTGGCGAATGTCTGTCTGTCTGTGTGTGTGATTGTATGCGCTAAAAGCAAAAACTACTGAACCAACAGGGCTCAAATTGCTCACAAATACCACTATAGCTTCGAGGATCCATTTAGAACTATTTCCACTTCGATGATGACCTTGGCCTCTTCCCCGTGGGCTTTCAAAATTACGAGGTCGGAGAATTAAAATATAATATTGATTCGTATCCATGGTTACAAAGAGAAATCTCATGGTGTTTAAAACTCATAATGCTGTGTAAACAAGCAGAACTGTCAAATTCACTTCATTTCACAATTCCACTCAGCTGATTTAAACAAATTTAATACTGAAATAATATTTCATAAGGAATTACTAATATACTTAATAAGTTTTATTTTTCTTAGACCAGTCAGTAAAGGAGTTGATTGTTGCAAACGGTGGGGTAGTAAATTTTATTTTTGCAACTTGTATATATGTGTACTAGAAAGTAAATATTAAAAATGGTAGCACCAAATATGTCGGGGCAACTTTTGGCAGGCTAAAAACCTTAAAATATGGGGGTTTTATGGGATAAACATGGATTATTCCCATTTTTGACCCTAAATACACAAAATTTCACAATTTCTCTCCAAACCATTTTGTAGATCTTAAAAAAATAAATAATTTTGTGTATTGAAGCGTTGTTGTATTCCCAATGGTTACGGAGTTAATTAAAAAAATTGTTATTTTAAAATTCCCATGTTATTCTTATGGAGAATAAATAAAAAGCTATAGTTTGTTTATTTATTTATGTAACTAAACCAAATTTGGAAATTGTGTTAATTCAATACTAAGCTATTGACATTGCAATAAAAAAACACGTTTAATATCTTCCCTGTAGCAGGAAACCTAAGTACTCACTAAAATTAATGTTAATTAAATAGGAAATGAATTTGACAATTTTTAGGGCATATTTAATTAGAAATTTAGCCAGGTAAATTGAAATTCACATAGTCTGCAGGTTTGCTGTGGCGAGGGTATTTTATTTTTTCTATTTTATTATCAGTAAGTATGCACAGTAGTGCGTTCTAGCAAAAAGGTTACTAAGTAACAAATTAAAAACCCATAAAAAACTCACAGAAGTTGTTCAAGTCGTTTATAGTGGCGTCTGAAGGTACTGATGAGTCATAAGTTACATAGTTTTGACAGTACAAATGCACATCGTGGTGAGTCACACTTTTTTAAGAGGCATTAAACCCACAATTAATCATAGATTAAGTGTATGATTAAATAAACCTCTTTGCATTAATCATACAACATTAGTCTATGTATTTAAAAGTTTATTTAACAAATTTACTATTTAGGGCCTAAATAAATTCTCTTTTAAGACGTTGCAATAACCTCATACTTTCCTTTTTAAAGGGTCACTAATCCTCACTCTTTTGGATGGTCCTGGTTTGTCTTCGGACAATTGTGGAGGTTGCATGAATGTCTCACACAGGTATCGTTCTCCACATTCCAATATTAGTTATGAATTGTCTTCATCGTCAACTAGCTGGCATGACATGTTCGCACTGTTGGCCACAACAGTGCTTGCAGATCGAAGAGCATTCCAGACCAGCTTTGCGACAAGAGCACGCTCCAGCACAACCCTTCTTGCAAGCGCAGGAAATGGTTTATAGCAGTGACAAGGGGCCATCTAAAAGAGTGAGGATAGACGACCCTTTGAAAAGGAAAATATGAGGTCATTACAACAGCTTAAAAAAATAATTATTTAAATAACAAATTTGTTAAATAAACTTTTAAATACATTGACCATTGTTGTATGATTATTATAATGCCTCTTAAGAAGGTGTGACTCACCAGGATGTGCATTTTTCTGTCGACACTATGTAACTCATGAGTACCGTCAGACGCCACTATGAACGACTTGGACGACTTCTGTAAGTATGTTATGGGATTTTTAATTGGTACTTAGTAACCTTTTTGCTAGAACGCACTACTGTGCATACTTACTGATAATAAAATGGAAAAATAAAATACCCTCGCCACAGCAA